TATATATATATATATATATATATGTATGTATACATAAGTACATAAATAGTAACAGTGCTGTTATGCAATAGTAAAGGTAGAACTTACTAGCATTAGGATTCGTCTGGTTTTAATTATGCTTTGCTTATGGAATAAATGCTATATGTAATGTAGGTTAGTAGGAAAAAGAAAAAGATATTGTGTTTTGCATTAAACACTGTACGCATGTTTCTTACTGCCATGTTCTATAATAGCTACGTACATGTTAAACAGTAACTAGGTTTCTTGAACAACAGTCATTGCTTCATACATTTAGTTTATTTAATTTATATCTAAAATGCACTAAATTGACAGCAAAACATTTTACAAACAAATGTAAACTTTCATGTGATCCCAGCCTTTCATTAGCTTATATAAACATGCTTTTGGAAGATCCTCATGTCTTACAAAGTGCTTCTGGGGAAAGCTTTTATTGTATAATTAAATGCCTCCTTCACAACTTTTTATAGGGTTCAGATTAATTGTCTCCCATTTGTAACCTTTGTATTTTTCCTCATAATTTATGTTTATTTTTCTTGTACATAAAAGTCTCTGAAAAGAGTAGAGAGACAGAATGCCTGCCAATGTCTTATATTAAAAGGACAAGGCACTGTGCTAGAAGTGTCCATGGTGTCTAGATTGATGAGATTTCATGGATGCAGACAATATGAGTACACATTTAATGCTCATCTGACTTTATTAAAAGGCAGTAATTCTTAAAAATGACAGTAGAAAACAGGAAATAGATGGGCATTTAGTAGTTTGTCCCAAACTTCTTAGGCTTTTTGAAATGACCAGGTATTGCCATTTGAAAGGTATCTGGCATTGGTACATGCAGCAACTGAAAACTTTGTCACAAGGTTGAAATATGCATTGCAATATCACAATGCATACTCTGTCCTTTGTGTACTTATATGCCACATCATAATGCAAATACAACAAAGTATGCACGTTTTGCCATTAGCTTCTCCTGCTCCCCATGAATCCCTGTGGTGTCTGGATAACAATAAAAAGTTTCAACAGAGACTCTGGTACAATATGCTCTCCAGTGTTAATCCTACTTTAAGCAAATTTTACATTAGCTGAAATTCTTATGATTATAAAAGGTACCTGAACCAAATGCTCATTGTAAAGTCTTGCCCAAAATGATAATGGCATGACTAATAATAGCAGATGCCATGTTAATTTTTCATAGAAAGCACCACAATCTTATTGTCACCTACAATTGGATACATTGCATGATTTTAATGATCGTGCTTAATGATTTTATTTTTATATGGGCAACAGAAATGGGTAGGATCAACCTTGTGACATAAAATAATGTATCTCAAGAATGATCAATGCAAAACTTATAGTACCATGACTATGAATTGAGATTATTAGCTTACCGGTATTTCAGGTATTCTTGTCAAGTTACAGAGGAATGTATCCAGAAATAAGATAGTATTTAAAATAAAGGAAGATGTAGACAAATTATTTACTTGATGACAAGTATCCAAAAGTGTATTGTTAAAAGTGGAATAGGTATGGGCGTGAGAATTTGTACTTAGGTCTTATTTGCTGAATTGGACTCAAACAGCTATAATTTATTTGGTTTTCTGTATATAAAAAAGAAAGTTTACTGTTTTCTGTGTTGTATAATAGCTTCTTTCTTGTCCATTTAGTTTCTTTTCTGTTTCTTTTATGTGCTAGACATTATTAGCATTAGCTGTCTCTGTCCTGAAGGAGCGGGAGCAAGCAAGATAGTCCTGTCTCCTTCTCATTTCTATTTATGACACCAACTCCAGATTGATTGAAAAATATTGTATGGGAATAAAATGTATAGGTAGTCCTCAACTCACAGCAGTCATTTAGTGACCATACAAAGTTAAAATGGCACTGAAAAATGTGACTTACAACCGTTTTTCATCGTTACAATCTTTGCAGCATCCCCATGGTCATGTGATCAAAATTCAGATGCTTGGCAACTGGTTCATATGTATGACAATTGCAGTGTCCCAGAGTCATGTGATCACCGTTTGTGGCCTTCTGACAAGGTTACTAACTTATCAACTACAGTGATTTACTTAACAACTGT